TGAACCGCTCTGCACTGTGTTCTTTGTATTTTTTATATTTTATATATATAATTAACCAGTACCAAACTCACATTTGATGTGTATTCGTGTTCTTCTTTACCAGACACATTTGGACATTTGAAGGGACCATGGCTTCAGCGAAATGCACAAGATATTCCCTGTACTGGGAGGAGACTGAGTGCCTCAGCTACTATGAGATGCTGTCCCTCCATGAGATCTTTGAAATCGTGGGCTCCCAACTCACAGAGACTGATGTCGAGGTTTTGTCCTTTATCCTCGATGAAGCTTATCCTGGAAAACATCCCCTCGATCCAGAGGGATGGACTGATGAGTTACCTCCAGGGCTTGATGGGTCTTCACAGGGTAATTCTCCATGTCCTCGGCTTCTGAAAACATGGCGAAGAATACAGCCGCAGAATGAGCCTTGCCCCATCGCTGGTCGCCACAGACCCAAGAGTGGCGTTGAACTGCTGTTGGAGTTGGAGAGGCGAGGATACTTGAGCGAAGGAAACCTCAAACCTTTATTGCAGTTGCTGCGAATTCTGACACGACATGATGTCCTGCCTTTTGTCGCACAAAAGAAGAGAAGAACAGGTGAGCATCAGCTGTAAAATAACATTAGACAGTAATGGAAAGACATGATGCTTTTCCTCAAAATATTCCTCTGAGTTTTTCAATCAATAATGTTTATGGTCAGATACTGATGTGTCACCTGTTCTTGTTAGTGTCTCCAGAGCGAGAGAAGATAGAATACCAAGCAGTGGATACCAGCGGGGACACACAGTTCAGTTCAAACACAGATATACCATCCTTGGAAAACACACAAGACCACCAGTGGAGAGCAGGTGAGAAGAGATTTCCGCTAAAAGCTCAGCACATTAATTTATTAAATGTTTTTTTATTTTATGTTTTTGTTTGTTAAAAAGTTTTGTCTCAATATTTTTCCACACTTTTTGGAAATATTATATAATATCCACCTTATTTTGCAATGTGGAAGTGAGCTGTTTTCTGTGAATATACAGAACTTCTGATTCATTGGCCGCTATGAGTAAATAGTATTAATATTGCACTTCAGAAAAGGATATTTAATCATTTTCGTTTATGCACCAATGTAACAATGCATAGTAGTGCTGCTGTATAATTTCAATAAAACATTTAAATATATGAAAAATAACATGTGGAGACTTTTATCTTAGTGATGAAATAAATTGTTGAATCGAGTTTTGAATAAATTCACTGACACTTACAGTTTGAACTGATGAACAGAAATAAATTGAATTTACCATGCTGTTTTTGCTACTTACGTTGTAGTCTTGATGAAACTAGTCGCAAGGGTAGCCAGTTGACACCATTTGTAGGACATTAAGCATAAAGCATGTTGAAATTCACCTTATTGCTTAATTTTAAATATTTTTGTAAAATCATAATGAATACATTTTTAATGTTAATGTTTAATGTAATATTACATTGTTTAATGTAATATTTGCTCAGCCGTAGTTGTTGTGTATTAATTAATGTTTGCTATGTTAGGGACTGGCTCTTCCATGACAACAACCACCCCTGTCCGACAGAAGCGAGGTAGAGGTTACCACTGGAGCAGAAAATCTAGGGGCAAGCCTGAAATCCAGCCTCAACCAACACCCAACAAAGTGACCTGCGGTAAGGTCACTTTCTGTTGTCGTTGTTACACTTCTTCTGTTGTTTAGTCTCTCTTACTAGCATTTTTTTAATCATATGAATCTCTTTGCCTTTCCATTTCTCTCTCCTTTTGTTTGATTTGATCTATAAAACGCTCCCCAGCTGAGTGTACCTTAGCGCTCCATAGCCCTGGGCGATAAAACGGTATCGATATTTATCGACGGTACACCTTCTTCGATAACGATAGAAAAATGTTTTGATATAGCGCACGATATAGGCAGGTGCTATGAGTGATGTAGACAGCAGACACAAACACGAACACATGCAGAAATGAGTGCTGTGCCTGCCTGTGATGAGGAGATTGTGAATAAATAATGAATATTAGTCGAATTTAAAATAAACATTTGCATTTGAATGTTAGGACTGCGTCACGGAGCGTCATCAGTGGCGCGCGAGATGCGGTGATGATGTAAGTGACGTTGCATTTTAATGTTTTGTTAGTCTAGTCCACGAGATGCGCCGCTGCTGCATTATTCATTCAAAATATTAGAGAAATATAGAAGCTCAATGCGGAGAAGATCTTGATTTAGGTTAAAACCGAAACCAAGCTATTCACACAGAACGCATAATCAGCGCATTTTTTAGGCGGACAAATACGACTGCTGCACTCGCGTCGCACAAGAGATGTATAGAAAGCCATGCAAAGTTAAAACAGTTTAAACTTTTAGAAAACACGTCACGAATTTGTGGAAGTTTATTCCTTTTCACTGCGTCTCAAACGGTAAAACTCAACTGTTTAACTCTAGGGGAGTTGGAAAATGAGCCTATTTTCAAAAATAGTGGAGTGTTCCTTTAAGACCTATTTAATCTGCATATAAAACATTAGAAATTAGATATTTGTTTAATTTTTATTTTGTGTTTGATTGTTAAAACAAAAATATTTGTTTGTCTCAATAAATTGTTAATTTAAAAATAGTGGTTAAATTAAAAAAAAAATTCTATTGCTCTTTGTTTTAAAAAAGGTTATAAAAAATGTCAATAATTATCGATACCGAACGATATGAAACATTATATCGTTGATACATTTTTTTGCTATATCGCCCAGCCCTAGCGCTCCATTTCTTGACAGTTTATAAATAACCAATCACCCATTCATTAGTCCCTGAACCCCTAATGCTGTCAGAATGAAAGTGAAACTGTCACAAAAGAGGTCCATGTTAAACGTATGTCATCATTCATCCCTTTGTGAATTCCCTGCACTCTGCACTATTATCACTTTGAGTTTCATTCTGACTGGACTCAAAGGCTGCTCACACCAAAGCCTCTTTATGCTTTTGCTAGATGGGAGCTCAGCTGTCCTGCCATCAGGGCATTGCTAAAATCTCTTCAGAACAGAGCACATGAGACACACTGAGTGGCAATAATGGCACAGTAGGTAAGGAAATACCACGATAAAACTGTTTTCTCAAAATTTGCAAACAAATATTTGTCAAGAAAGAAGTGATTGTGTGAGGCATTTATTTTCTGTAAGGACTGTTTTTTCTGGGACATTCAGATCTCAAAATACCAGGGGCTGCAATTTATCTTATGCTTCAATTTGCAGTATAGCATTAAAAACCATCCAGGTTTTCCTGTATAATACTCTTATGGGAGCTGAATGTCTCATAATAACGTTTAATACAGATATTTGTGTCCATTGTGATTTTGCAGTAATTTATTAGGGTTGTATCACTATAATAGGTCGTTCTTTTCCCTATGTATCAGTGCAGATACATCTCTTATAATCATTTAAACTGCATGGTCTTACTTACTTTTTCAACCCTTTTTATCTTTGGGTTCACAGTGTATCTTTTGGGGTGCCTAAAAATATGATATATATTTATAGTAGGGCTGGGCGGTATATCGAGTTTGTACGATATATCAATATTTTCTTTATAAGCGATTCGATATGAGGCAATACCGTTTTTATTTATATACAGTAGTTTGATGCAAGTGCATCTGAAAATATAGCGGAGGACACAGACTGAGCTGCTGCGGAGAAGGTGCATAATCCAATTTGTTCTAAACATGTGACAAGCTTCATATTAAGGCCTTTAAAAACTCGTAAGACATAGTTTATAGTTTCGTTTGGCATATTAGTTTAAGCGGCTTGGCCCGTCATATGCTCTGACAGAAGGCTGCGTGTGCCGCTGACAGAGAC